AGAAGATGTTTGTGCCAACGTTTTTTATTTTTATTTTTGTTTTTTTCTCCCTCTGCCTGCTGGTTACCCTGTCTGCTCCTCTCTTCCTTGTGTTTAACACCTCTTCCTTCACTCTGCCTCTTTCCCATAGCGTGCAAGTGGGCTGTTATGGCATACGGGGATGGGGGCAGCTCGCGCTCAACTTCATCAACGTGGCGAGCCTTGTACGTTAGAGGCACGGTGGAGGAGGCGTTAAGARGACTGARAAACTGAATGATTTYGATGTGCTTTTGTTTTTRATTTTTATCCTTTCTTCAGGATACAATGAAACGAAGAATAAGAGGACATTGTTCTGTGTCATTCTGGTTTGTCTGTCTCTTTGCCTGTCTATCCTTTCATTTTTCTTTTCTTCGCTCATCTTATTTCTCCTTCTACTTCACGTGCTTGCGGTCTTAGTGAATAGTTCTGTGACAATATATATAGTATCTATCTATCTATCTATATATATATATATCTATATCCATATCTATATCTATATCCATATCTATATCTATATCTATATATATATCTGGTGTGGGTGAGTGATAGTCTACTTTGATTTTGGTTAAGGTGGATTATCACTTACAGTGTAATCAGTGAGGGGATTCTACAGACTGTCGAGGGTTCAGCCTCCTGATGTGTGAAACTCCGACGAAACAGTTTGTCGCAGCCCCTCGTTTGTTGTCCTATTCTCCCTCTCTGCCTACGGTTTACCGGGCAGTTCTATTTGACGATATATATAATGGTATTATAACCACAACCAGGGTTAAGGTGGATTATCACTTAGTGTAATCAGTTAGGGGATTCTGCAGACTGTTGAGGGTTCAGCCTCCTGATGAGTCGGTGAAACTCCGGGGAAACAGTTTGCCACAGCTCCTCGTTTGTTGTCCTCTTCTCCCTCTCTGCCTAAGGTTTATCGGGCAGCTCTGTTTGACGATATATATGTATAGATCGCATACATCTATTCCGCTATCTTGTCTTGGTTATTCCTATCCGTGGATGTAACTGTGTCACATGCATCCAGGAAAGCCCTTGTGTGTCTCCTTGAAAGGAAAAAGTCGGCCAGCCTTCTCTCTCGAGAGTTGCCCTGGCCATTCATTTACATACCGGAAATGACGTTTGTCCGTTCCTTGTCTCTCCCCCGCTCCCTGTGCTTTTGACTTTTTTTTTCTGGGGGGGGTCTTTTTGACACTCTTACAATGGGCATACTGGACTTTTTTTTGCTATGTGTTGCGAAGGGATTCGGCCCCCCCACTCCCCTCTCTCTTATAGCCAAGGGGTCATTTAGTCTATGACAGTGCTGAAAGACGCTGCCGTGACCTGTGCGCTTGTTCACCTCCCCCTGCTCCTCCTCTTCCTCATCCCTCTCTTCCTCCTCATCCCTCTCTTCCTCCTCCTCTTTCATCTTCTACTTCCTCTTCTTCTTCTCCTCCTCCTCCTCCTCCCTCGTTCTTCTTCTCTTCTTCTTCTTTTATCTTCTCCTCCCTCTTCTTCTTCTTCTTCGTTCCCCCGATCTGAAACAGAGACGATGCGAGGAGTAGTACACTGGCGTTTATTTGAGCAAGGCAGTTTTTTCCTGGTTTGCGAACGCACTCCTGCTCGTCCGCCATGGAGCAGCATTCTTCCAAGCCGAAGGTCAGTTCCCTAAAATCCTCTGTGAATCTTGCTTCCCTCCGAGAATGTACCCAAAGGTTTTGGCTCATGAGGTAAAAGTCGCCAATGAAGGAAAAAAGAAGGGAGAAAAAAAGAACAAGTTATCTTTTGCAGGTCAGTCATCGGCTCACTCTTTGCATGACAATGGGAACCCCACCTTTTATTTTGCTTCTGCTTGGCATTTGGATGTTTTGTTCTGTTCCGCCCTTTGGGTGTGTCACAGGGGTGCATGCATACGGTATGGTGCCCACACCTGTTACACAATTTCACCCTCCATGGGGCCAGTTGTCCTAGGTATTCACCACTCCGCCCCCCCCTCCCCGGAAAAAAAAAACACTATGCCCCTTCTATCCTGGGGGGCTATTCACCACGTTGTTGCAGTGGTGTGGTTGCAAACATCTAGCACATACTGGACTGGCGATTTTCTCCTGAAGAAAAAAATTCCATGGAGTACGTAGGGGCCATGCTTTGACTTTGAAATAACGGTCGCTGGTTATTCGGCCACCAGTTTTGGGGGCATGCCTTTACTTCGAGATAACGGTCGCCGCTTATTCGGGCACAAGTTTTGGAGGTTGGTTCTTTTACTGGCGTCGAAACCGCCAGTGCATGGCCCCAGCCAAGTTGAAAATCACGCGTGACTCTCTTCAAAAATTTCGGGGCTCGGGAAGGGCCCTGTGGAAGCTGGTGGGCCCAACGGAACGGGGGAGGAAGCCACTGGGCGCGAAGGAAAAGGGGCAAATGGACAGCGAGATGTCCTGCTGGTTCATGGTGTGCATGTGGAAACACGAGCACGGATGCAGGAGGTGTAGACACAAGGTGTAAAAAGAAAAAAGTAAAGATGTTTGGCCAGCAACTTGGCGGGCAGAAGAAAGGGTTGTTGGACGGGCCACTTGGCAGGCCCGTACACTCAGCGTTGTCAGATGCTTCCTTGTCATGGCAGGACCAGTGAGAGGCAGGAGGAAAAGAGATGATGGGCCTCACTTCACCCAAGCTCTGGACATGATTGCAGTCAGATTCGTCCAGGTCTGACCCAGCTTGCACCTGACTGCCATTTTTTTTCCTTTTATTTTTTCCCTCCTAGCTGAGGGCGTACTTACACTAGGACGTTTACTATTACAAGCGAAGGACGATGACAAAAAGCATTTTGCGAAACACGCCAGCCATCAGTTGGACTCCATCTTTGCAATGTACCCCTACCAGGCGCTGCCCAACCGCAAAATGCCCCTGCAGTTGCCAAGTTTTCATAGGTGCAATTGCAAAAGGCCAAGTGAATTTGGACACCCACCTGACAGGGGCATAACACAAACATGTCAGTCCAAAAGGCCATTCCACTGTGCCCATATGTTTTAGGGACATTTTGACATATATCTCAACTTATGGGGGTATTTGGAAAATTACCCTGCACCCCCCCAAAAAGGAGACTCTCTCTCTCTCTCTCTCTCTCTCTCTCTCTCTCTCTCTCTCTCTCTCTCTCTCTCTCTGTTTTGCACACCTCCTCCCCCTTGTGCGACCTCGCAATCTCCTCGTCCTCCCTCGCGGCCCCCTCCTCCCACTGGCACGAACTCCTCTCCCTAGCACGACCTCCTCCTCCCACCGGTGCGACTTTCTCCTCCCCCTCCCGCACGACCTCCTGCAACCTCTTGTCCCCATCGTGCGACCTGCTCCTACCCCTCCCACGACTTCTTCCTCCCGTTTGCACGACCTACTCCTCCCCCTCCTTGGAGCTCCTCCTCCCCCTTGTGCGACTTCCTCCCCGTCCTTGCACGACGTGCTCTTCCCCCTCGCAGCTTGTGTTCAGACCTCTTCCTCCCCCTCACATCGGCCAAGGCATCAGCACGCCGTCGGATGCTTTGTAAATTAGAACTTTTTTATTCTGGTCGCCGCTGGATTCGAAGTTACGTCTGCAAATCAACAGTATCATGTGTGCATCAACTGAGCAACCTGCCATTGTGCTAAATGAGAAGGAATCTTCCGCCAGAACATAGGAAGATACACCACAACGGACAGATACATTGAAAAGAAATCCGGTGTGTGTATGGACTAAGGAGCTGTCTGCGTGCATGGCTGGAAAACTCTCTCTTTCTCTCTCTCTCTCTCTCTCTCTCTCTCTCTCTCACACACACACACACACAGAGGCACGTGTAGTAGTGTATAATTCGATGTTCTTACGGAAGATTTATTCGATTTCGCTCATCCTATTGATGGAAGTGGCGTGAGGCCAGGCGCGGGGTTGGAGACTTACCTGTTGGCCGGTGCGTTGCTCATCCTATCGATGGAAAACTCTCTCTCTCTCTCTCTCTCTCTCTCTCTCTCTCTCTCTCTCTCTCTCTCTCTCTCTCTCTCTTTCTCGTCCTCCCTTTGACACCGCTTAGCAACAACAGATTTTGGATCGTCCATTGAGAGAGAGAGAGAGAGAGAGAGGGTACTTCCATCGATAGGATGAGCAAAATCGAACGAATCTACCGCTAGAACATGGAAACATACACTGCCACACTTGTGTGTGTGTGTGTGTGTGTGTGTGTGTGTGTGTGTG